CTTGTGGCTCCACTCAACAAAGTTTCCGAAAGATAACAGAAACGAGATTCTGCAGCTTGCTCTGCGCCCAACTAGAAACAGAAAATGAGATACTGTTGAGAAGGAATATTATCAAATCTTACCTTGTTGAGTTCCTGATCAGCACGCTCAGCTGTTTCTTTCGAGTACTGTCCACTACAAGCAACTTTCACGATCCATTTCACATGCATCACGTTGAGGACGCTCCAGTCTGGCCTAAATAGCCTGATACGCAACCAAAAAATCTTTAAGAAAAGTAGACTAACTTTTTCTTCCACAACTCTTGCACTTCGCGTAGTAGCAACATTGCAACTTCATGGCGAAGGTGTTGATGTAGTAAGTAATCATCGACGCCGCTTTTCAGTTCTTCGCCGATATCCCCATCGCCCTGTTATTCCCTTGATGATAAGCGAACTTAGATAAACTATGGCTAATACCTTTAGGATTGAGTTCAGTTCGCTCTTGCGAGGTGAGCGATTGTCAGCAACCAGTTTCGTCAAGACTTCGTCACTAAGTGCCTGCCGGCACTGTTCCTCAAAAGATGGAAGAGAGTCGCAGAATGCTGTATTTCGAAAAATGGACAGCATGCAATGTAAACGGTCAATTCCACCAGTAGCTTCCCAAGATATGCACGCGTCTTTGCTGAATAGGTAAAATCAAAGTATGATACACCATCCAGACTGATCTCTTGAAGTTCAATCCATAAATACTCTTTTTTAAGTACTAATCTTGATTTTTAATTTGATATTGTGGTTCGTAGCCCTTTTTACTAAAAAAGAATCCCTCAAATTCAGATTGTTGTAAAAAATCGTGATGCGACCGTAAGAATGCAAATATGAAACTCACACTTCATGCACGTCAATGTTGTGCAAAAGGTACGTAAAGCTTTCGAAAAGGGATAATCCTAGACCATTACCGGTGGACTCAATGATAAGTACTACGAGGATGAAGCTTTGGAGATATTCCTGCCAATTCCCCTAAAATGCTCAAGTTCACGACCAACAAATCTCGTGGACGCTGATTTAACTAACCCCGCTGAGGAAGTCGATGAAAAGTCGTACTGCACGATCTGCCAATTTTGC